CTCCACGTCCGCTATCTGATTCTGTTCTGACTGACTTGAGCAGGCAAAAGGTGAAGTACAGCGAAACAGAAAGCAAATGCCATATTTTTTTAATAGATTCCACTTTCATGTTGCAGTTCTAGTTTTAACAAATCTCTTAGAGGTAATTTGTCCTATGGAAGGAAACTACATAGTTATACAAAGGCGCACCGGTGTAAAATAATGTACACATAGCAACAGGGGAAAAATATCACTAACAAGATGATGTTTTCATCACCCACTTTTAGAGTATATACTACCCTCTCAAAAATCCCTGTATTTCATAATTAATGTGCTTTTAGCCTGAGTAAAACTGCATTAGTTTTGAACTTTGCTTTGGCAAGTACATAGATTATTAGACTTTTTTATCAGTCTAAATCAATTAACCGAAATTTGATTTCAATCGACAGGATAAAAGGAAGGTAATATTCAGGTTCATTTTTGATTGTGATGATACATCTCACATATGGCCTTAAGTACAGAAAACAGTACTCAGAGGGAATCCAACAAAAAGAGAATTGCCTGAGGCAAACTAACCACATGAGTTCCCCTGATTGGTTAGTGCTATCATTAGTGCCACTGCTGTTTAAGAACTACACACGGACAGGACAGGGTGACAGCTAAGACTTTAAAGCCTATGTATTTTTCAAACAGCTTTTCAAACTGTTTTTCATGACAGAATTTTTTTCAGCTCTATCATTAACTGCTGACAAGCTGACAGAATAAATACTTCAGCCTTTCAGAAACCATCTAACAATCTTTTTTTCCACCCCCTCCCCTTATTTTTGATGTGGGGGGAGGAGAAGAGGAAGGAAGGAAGAAAGGATATGAAGATATGAGTTTCTTACAGTCTTACCTCATCAGTTTGGGTGAGGAGTTGGGTGAATTTCGCATGCCTCCGTTTCGCTGCTTTTTTTTGGGTGATAGTGTCGACGGCTGCTCATCTTCAACTGGAAATATAAGGAACTCATGAGATTAAGTACTGCTCTAAGTGCAATATGAAATACAAGTGAAGTAGCAAAGAACACACACTCTATGTCCATTCACGCACTGATACTTCATTGCTAACATAGGCCCAACAGTAATAAAAATCAAATACATGTTAGTCAAAGAGGTTGGTTTGAAGGAGAAGCAGGGAAGAATACCAGGGTTTTGAACACAGGCGTTCAAATTGGTTTCATACTTCAAAAACAAAGAGGGGGGAACCACATTCGGGTTATTCTTAGAGTTATTTTCAGTTAATCTGCGCTACAGAAAAGTAGAATTAGTGCTCTGCTATATTCCCAGAAAGATGAAGTACTATTTGCAATACCAACATAACAGCTGCCAGCCTGCTTTTGCTAATGAACTAGACACCAGTTGGTTCTTGCTCCTCACATGCCAAACAACAGAGTCTTCATGAAGAGATGTAAAATATTCAATGCCTTGACGTTCAATGATTCAGTTAGTCGGGAATGTGAATGCAGCCTGCCATTGTGCACAGATCTCCAGCACAAGTCAGACCTCATCGCTCTACCCTTCTCACAAAAGGGAGTTTTAACAGGAGTAAACAGAATGAGGTTGAATGGAAGTGGGGAGACAATACCTGTATAACAGAGGATGCATGTGTTATGCAATCTTTTAATGAGGATGAGGTGTGTTGTCAACGACAGATCAATTTCCAGATGTAAAATCACTTACGGTTTTGCCAATCATAAACTACTCTTGGATAATCTATGTCACAAGACGTATTGCTTAAACAAGTGCAGCTTCCTAATAACTCATCTATAAGCATGAACCATCATCTTTACTCTTTCAAGACTGCTACTGCACTTGATAATCTGCGCATAAGGTTTACATGTGCTATCAAAGGGAGTTATCTTATGCCCACTTTCTCAAATTCACACTAATGCTGAATTATTCTAATATAAAGAAGGAAAAAATACACTTTTTTTTTCCATCCTATTGTTAACTGAAAAATGAACTAGAAGATAATATAACTGATGCCTAGGAAGCTGTTACTTTAAAGCTAAAAGGAAAGAGATTAGTAGTAGTAGTAGTAGTAGCTATATTAAAATACACATTAGCAGTGCACAAGCAGAGGCTGGGAAAAAACTTCTATTTGCAATGAGCTACGTAGGAACAACAACAAAACCTGGATTATGTCATGTGCCCTAGACTTATCTGTGAAGAAATTAAGCAATATCCTTCTGCTATAACCCCCTTCTGACACTATTTTATTACAGACTGCACTCTAGCCTGCCACGTCTGTCTGTTTGCCCAAGTCTGCTGTGGAACTTCATTTTGCCTTGGTCAAGACTGAAGGACTGGGCCCTGAAAAGACAGATGTGCTGTCTTTTTAAATGACCTGGCATCAACTAACACATCAAGGGAATCAAAACAAAAGAAAGCACTGCAAAAGAAAAACCAAAACAAAAAAGCTAACCCCAAAATAAATGCCCCAAAGAGTGGTGTAAAAGTTAATACTTAGATCAGAGAAATGACTGTCTAATAATGATTTATTTCACTGACTTAACTTTCTTTTCTTCTTGGGCAGCATCCCCAAAGACAAAGCCATTTCCTTATCCTTTGACTTTTCTTTTTTCCCAAGTCAGAGTCCTATAGTGGAAATGCTTATTGATGATTATTCAAGTACCATTCTTTCTTTGGCTGAGAGATAAATAAGCCCATAGAAAAATCTCAAAAATGTACAAATTGAAATTTTCTTTCTGTGACAGTTTGTTCTGATTAAGCTAGATCACTTCAGTATTTAGTTATTTGTAACATGAAGTGAATACACACAGAACTATTTTATTAGTAATATCTTTCTATTTCTGATTATAACAAAGTTCAAGTATTTGTGCATTTCAGAACACCCTCTGCAAATCACTCTCTTGGAAATGGCCTGGTCTTGTTTTAAACTTGTCTATCAGAAAGTTATTTGCATGCTATTCCACACAAACAATAGGTTGCTTTTAAGATATACACTGCGCTCTCTTGTTCTTTATAGGATATAAATATTCAGTTCCAATCTGATGAATCCACCACTTAAAAGATAAAGGAACAAGAACCATACAAAATGTTCCTTCCAGAAACCAGCCATAACTGACATGTTTTGCTCTCTTGGTAGTAAAAATTCTAAATTTCACTTAATCTAATCTGCTACATGTTTGTCAAGAGATTTAGTATTGCACCGTAAATAAAGTGTATTGTTATACTATTTTAACAGTTAAGGAAGATATATAGCCATCAGGACCACATGCAAAATCTTACATTAACACAAGTCAACTGTAGATCATATTATAGCCAGAAATATTTCTATGAACAATAGAAAACACTATTAAAAAAAGAATACTTTTCCAAGTTTTCAGCTAGCTAATAAGACTTCTGCCTGATCTTTTCAAATACTGAAAGTTAGTACAATAAGGATCTTTTGTACTACATGGTCCAACATTTGTGTTCTCCAGTGCTGCCAGGTGATGCTACCCTGCCATCCAAATAAAAACCAGTCTTACTATTAATCATCCAGAATAACCATTTCTAGAACTAGATTTCAAGCAGTCTGCAGTTATTTTTTGGTACTGCATCTACAATAAATAAGATCCCTCTTTTGATATGTGCCTTGTCATATTCAGACTATGCTATTGTCACCAATTGCCTGGGAAGTCCAAGGTTAATGTGGCTCACTAGTTAATACCTGTTAGCAAAGCCTTCTGAGGGATCTCAATTTGTTGCTAAAGCAATGCCTTGCTTAAGCAAGGAAGCCATTTATTCTCATTGCAGCAATGAAAGGTGATCTATCTTAATCATATCACATCCAAACAAGATTTTGTTTTTCAATGTATGTAAAATTTACAGAGCATCTGCAGTTTAGAAATGCAGCTCCATCAGAATGGGGGAAGGGAATCCATGAAGCTGAAATATGTGAATGGTATATAATGGACACCATTACCTATGGCTTGGGTCCCAAAAGTGTTGCAATGGTAACTCAAAAGTGGCTTCTTAGTAGTAAGTAGGATATAAAACGTATTTAATTATTACCCTTCAGATACTCTTATCAATTTCCTGCATATTTAAAGAAATAGATCTAGCAAAATTTTTAGTAAAGCCATAAAATATCATTTAGTTTCATGGTTCCTGTGTCTGTCTTAATTTAAAAGGGAGTCTTAAATTTGCTTGTTCTTATGAAAGACAACGATATTTGAATAATGGGCTGTGATATATGACAACTCAACTCAGATGTATGTTTGACCTAGTGCTTTTGTTAATGAGAATGTGTCCCAATTTTTAGTATTTTTGATGTCTTTAAGCTACAGGATTCATATTAAAATACAGTCATATTATATTATGCAGACTTTCTTTACCAGCTTTCATGGAAACTGCAAATAAGTTCAAGAATTGGACACAGAATTTTATACAATCGGAAATCAATCCAGCCTCTGAGTTCTAATAAGATTCAAGAGCTTGTTTGCATATCCCTAAGTATAACACTTAATGTACTGTTGTAATAACGCAGTGCTCACTTGTCTAATAGGCAGAGAATCTAACAGTTTTGCAGTTCAGGAAGACTCGGTGCTAGAAAAATGTCAGGCAAGTCTAATGAGGCTTCAGATGCTCCAGTTTATGCTGGAGTTTAATTTAAAGTTACACTGATGTTTTAACATGTTTGCTTATTCTTGAGTAAAGAGGATTCATTATTTCAATGACATAACCTCCAGACAATGTTCCATGAATTGATTTAAGATGTGCTGGTAATTCTAACAGCCGTAATGTGGAGCTGAACATCTGTAACAACATATTACTTGACTTTTATCCACATTTCATTTTTTAAGCAAAATAAAGGGAATGTCTTTCAGAAACAGCGGACAAGTTCGTAACTTTTTTCTTTGCTATTTTGTTACTATTTTTTAAATAAATCTGTCTCCTTCACTGCCTCTCCCAGGTCACTAGCAGAACAGTTTACAGACACTGATTTTAGACCCCAAAAAGAGCAGGAATTTGAAATAACATCTGTTACCAAACATCACACGAACTGGAATACCTGGTAAATTCATTCTGCCTAGCATGTAAATGCTTCAGAGCAAATAAACCATATGAAAGGTAAAGCACAAACCACCCAGAAACATTAGTTGACTAGCTATCTTGATTAACTTATTAATCACCACATCTGGAGAAACCCACATCTGTAAGCACTTAACAGAGCATTAGTAATGTCATAGTCACGTTGAAAACAGACTGCAAAACCATGCACAAACCAATCTGTATTGCCTTATACATCCAACTACGGGGCTACCTACGGAGATCTTGGTTCAACCCAGGCTTTTGGGAGTGGTAGCGGTATTTTACAGGCAAGCTGAGTGCCCTTTGCAATCTACAGTACGTAGATTTTCCTTGTTCAACAGAACTCAATAAGTTAAGGTGCAGCAGCGAGGGGTTGTTGGGTAGGAAGAGGCTCCCTTTACGGTTATTAACAAGTGGAACAGGTTCCGGGATTCCTTCAGTGGACTTGGCACCAACCAATGCATTAGTAGTTGCATTCTTGAATTGATATGAACATTTTGGGTAACTTGATTTAGCTGCATTCTTTACTTCTAAATAATAAGAAAAAATTTAAATTAATGTCTTTGTATTAAAAATTATTTCAAACCACAGGATGAATCAATTTTGATATTATGTGGAATTACAGAATTTAAAGCTTAAAGTATCAGTTTCTACAGCTGAAATAAAGGTTTATACCTGCAGCTTTCTTAAGTTTCTTTCTAAAAATGGCTTTTTATAAAAGAATACTTATAAAAGGATTATTCCACAATATTATCATCTTCAAGCAATAATCCCATCCTAGGGTAAGTGTGTCTGAAGCAACGCTTATTTCCCACATGTTGATAAAGGCTTTGAGATTTGCTAGCTGTGGAAGATGTTTATTCCTTTGAATCTACTGAAAATGACAGGGGAGGTAGAGCACTCTGCTGCT